ATGATAATTAATGGTGACAATTAATTGATGAAATTTTCTTGAGAGATTCTTTGTAACTTTTGTAATTTGGTTTTTGCTTTACTTAATTTTACTTATCATGGGTGTTGAAATTATATGCTATTTGGAATCACTTAAATTGTTGGAATTGTTCATTATATGCTTTCATCTTTTTTCTACTATGCCATCATTGTCGGTGTCATTGGAATCTCTACCTTATTTATGTGGCTTATGAGAATACTCCTAAATTAGGTGTCCAAGTATGATTTCCTATGTTGTCTATGCTAGTATACATCTATTTAGATTCATCTTTTTATTTAGGATGAATATCATTAGATTTTAACTATTAGGGACTAATAAAAAATTCGAAGGGCATTAGTCATCTGATTAAAGTAATTTTGTATAATGTGCAACTTCTCCATCTAATGCTTTAAGAGGCCATATTGCTTCTATTTTTTGAATCCGACCATTATCATTTTGAACCATATTTTAATTCTTGCTTTAGCTTTTGTTTTTTCTTTAATTGGTCCTATTTATTTATAAGCTGTGCTTTATGATACTCTTATTAGTTTTTTAGTATAATGAAGTTTGCAGCTGGGATTGTCCTCTTGGGAGGTCTAGCATCTTTAGCTTTTACAATTATTTAACGTACAAATGATCACCAAATCTAGTTGTAAAAACCAGCACAAATTTCAATAAAAAAGTGAATAAACTGATAATAATTAATATGAGAAATATTATGAAAAATATAGGCAGAAATTAAATATTAAAGTGCAGAAATTTTTAACATAAAATATTATCTTTGGGTTAGAGATTTTCATACTCCAATGTTTCAAAGTTTTTTCCCCGTCCTATACTACTTTTATTACTTCATCTTTGCTTTGTTTTCTGTCCTTTCATTACTTTTTGTTTGGATTAATAAAAACTGGTTTGTGCAGTTAAATTGTAATATGTTCACATTATTGGCTTGTAATTAGTACATGGTTGATCTAAAAATGACACAATTTGAACTTTTTAGTCTTTATGCAAAAAATTGCTGGCGTAGTGATATTTATTTTGAATTGAAGGAGAAGCCTTAGATGATGCATGTTAACATAGTTACTAGAAGGATATTGACTTAAACACCTAATTTAAGTCATAAGGCCTACAAGAAGGCTAGAGATTTTGGTGATGATACTGATGATGGCATGACTATGTGAGAGATTGATTCACTTAATCCACACAGTTCTAAGTGACATGTAGCTTCAACATTTAAGATGACTAAGAATAAGTTGAAATGAAAATAAGGAAAACATGGATTATTTTTAAGAGAAGCTTGATCAATTCATCAAAGCCATACTAATATGTACAGAATGTCCTCCATGCATGTGTAATATTCTAGGATTTCATGGTGGATGTGATATCAGTTATATAGATTCAGTTGACGAGGTTAGCAACATTGGTTGTTCTATGAACTTTCCATTGATACCATTCTACAAAAGGATAAAGGAAATTTTTCTTAATGGACTTAACAGTAAGAAGTTCGGGTTTCTTGACTTTGAGTATTAATTATAGCTTCAGTAGAGGAAATTTTTCTTAATGGACTTAACAGTAAGAAGTTAGGGTTTCTTGACTTTGAGTATTAATAATAGCTTCAGTAGTTCTCATTGTTGGTGGAAGGTGGATTTAAGGTTCAATATTACTTGTTTATGTGTTTTGTGTATGATGTATTTGCTTTTTGAACAATTTCTAGTTATATCTTGTATGTGGAATACATGTTGTTGGAACCTATTACTTGCATAATGCTATTATAATATTTTTTTCACCATCAGTTTATTTATGTTGGCTATGATGTTGATATTATGTGAGGACTGCTTATTATTTTGTTTTTGTGTAGATCAAAGATGCCGAAAGCTCATATATTAGGTCATCTTCTGCCCATACCATGATACTAGCAAGGCTAGAGGCATGAAAAATCTCATTTTTCATATTCCAATAATCATAAGTTATACTTTTATAAGAATTATTTTAATAATGCCCCATGAATGGTTTCAATATAAACTTGTGAAAAGTGGCGTGCAGGAGTTATTGGCTGGCCATCAAAATAATTTGATAGTATCTTTCCCATGTTTAAAATTGAATTTACCAATATTTTATGTGACAAATAACAAATATAGTTTGCTGGTAACGACAAATGAACTAGCATAATTATTCTTTCAATCACTATTTAATAGTGTAAAATAGTTCAAATAAAAAAAAAAAATTGAAATGTTTTTGGGTCTACTAATCAAATCACCATTTTAAAACTGATTTTTGTTCTCCTAATATGATGTAAGTAGATATGATTGACAAAACTAATTAGGACATCCAAAGAGATTGCTAGTGATTCTAGCTTTAAGCCATTTTCCAAGATATTTATGGTCTGATAGATAAATTATTTCTTCTTTTTTTTATTTTTTTCAAGCTAAATAATTCCTCTCCTATCAATTGATTTTGGTGTGCTGTTATTGGAAAACATGTAAATAGCAACATCATATTAAATGAAGCCTCTGCCTTAAGAAACATGGCTGTTTTTCTTGACTATCTGTAGAACTTAAGCATAGTTGTATCTTCTTCTTTTTTTTAATAATTTTGTTTTGTTGTTATGGAAATTAACCGTACTGGAAAAAGTTCCTTCATGAAATCTTATTCATGAAAAATCAAACCCTTGAAGAAATAAGGCATTTGAATCTGTACTAATGAGTAAGAGATATTATGAGGCGGACATACAATTATAACATCGATTCAATGCTTTCATAACCATTGTAGATGCGTGTACTTTCAGCTGCATATTACTCTCCTTGATCAGTACACCCTAAGGAGGGAGTTCTGTTATCTTTTATGCCTAATTTCAAGATATATGGTCTATAAAAATATGAATATGCTTTATCATTTACTTTGCTTATCCCAAGGCCAAGCATGATTTTTTTAATGTTTCAGACTGACTAACACATTTTTATCCCTGTCATGTTATGTTTATAAAAAGACGAGATTATATGTTCTCTGTGTAGTGGTTGTTGCTCACGCTTCTCTTGAAGCATGACAAAGTTGTAGGATAGAATTTGATATGGAAATAGGAAAAGTCTTGAATACACTGAGATACAGCTGTCATAGGCATACATGCACACCCCAGTATTGATGTTTATGTTTATATTCCAATTGGTTGAACATCGCCCATTGGGATAAGGCCCCTTATTTCCACTTGGTTTGCTTTCCTAGGATGGCTTGGAGGCCTTTGGGTAGGCCACCAAAATGGCCATTGGGCATGGAAAACTGAAATTGAGAGGAAATGAGAAATTTAGGAAGTCTTTTGGAGCCTTAGAATTTTGATTTCATTTTGAATCAAATTTTGAGAACTTATTAAAAAAATTCTTCTAATAATTTAAAATTAATTTTTTTTTTATTTCTTGTAATTTGAAATTGATTTATTTTACTAAAATTTTGAATTGCCCTTTTCTTTTTTTCCCTCTCTTTGGGTAGGGTTTATTGAAACTAACTAAAAGAAGTCTTTTGATGGAACATCAATAAAAAATAAAAATAATAAATAATTGCTGTAAAAAAAAAATGGCGAATTCTTAAGGGCGGCGGAATTTCACAGTCTAGACTCAATTTATCAAAGGCATTGTTTTATAAAAGGGTTTGAAAGTCCTTATTTAGTTTGTATGGAGTGAGATGTTAAAGTGATGAGAAGAGAATGTGATAGCATAATATATTGAGACTTAAAAAAATAATTTCTTAATTTCTTCATGCATGTCTTATGGGTTTGATACCAATTGATGAGGAATGCGGTTGCAAAAGTAAAGAATTTAGTGGACCTCTAACACTTTGAATATTATGAAGGTAAGAGTTTGATGTAGTTGGAACACTTAGTAAAGAGAAAAATGATATTAAAAATATGAAACGAATGAATGTCCATATGGGTTGGAAAGGTCAAAAGGAGGTAGAATAGTCTTACAATTAGGACCAAGAGGAATAGATCAATCCGCAAAGGTGATGCTAAAAAGAAGCCCTTTTTTTTCTCATGGTAAACCATCTGTAATTACAACTGAATAACTACTATTCCAATCGTAGCCATACTGTTTTATGTACAATCCAATCTAAGGTGGACACAATCACTTGCATTGCTGCAATGATAAATTACTCTCTTACTTTAATAAATAATAAAATGAATATAAAGGGCATTGAAATGCCTTTGCATATTGAATAATATTATCTAAACTGATAACCTTATTGACTCAAAGTTGATAATTTTTTGTAGTCGTTTAAAATAAATCAGCATTTTGCTTTCACTTTTTTTTTTTCCTGATTTTGTGATTTTCTGTTAGACTTTATAAGAACTAATGTTAATTGATAGATCATAATCTGCTTTTGTTGTACCCATGGTGTTCATATATTTGAAATCAGAATTGGTGGTCGCTTGAACAGCTGATTAGGAATTAATTAGTAGACATCCACTTTACTGTCAAAGTATGGTCATGTCAAATCTTACTCTGATTTATTTAATTACTTGCTATGATTTGATGTACCTCCCATTCCAAAAAGGAATTTACCGATACCCAGTCAGGTATTATTTAAGCTTCAATGCAGAGTGCAAAATTTTCAGCTATTCCTAAAACCATGAAATTGATTTTAGATCTAGTATTCATCATCATTATTAGCCTAATCCCTACTTTTACAGTTTCTCTTTTAAATTCTTATTCTTCTTTTACTATTTGAATTTTCGCTTACTTTTGATGTGTTTTCGCATTAACTAGATTATAATACTGTTGTGTATCCGTAATTTGCTTGATGGCATTGATCACCTAACATTTAAAAAAAAAATCCTGTTTTGATGTTTTGGAAGTTAGCTGTCAGAAGTTCGCCGAGTTTTGCTTAATGTAGGCATTTATATGATCTATTATTCTGATATTCATTCCAAAATAATTCCGTGTTCTGGATGTTATCTATCGCTAGACAAATGAATGTGAATTCTTATGAATTTTTAGATATGTTCCATCAAGAAATGAATGCCCACTAATTTTACAACTTCCAGATGGACAGACTTCAAAGACCAATGGGTTTATATCTCCTGTAAGTGCTGGTCTCACTTTTTTATTTTTCATACTATTCAATTACCAAGCCTTAAAATGTTGCTATTTAGATGTGGGGAGGTGTTATTGTGTGGAATCCTCCTGAATGCTCTGCAAATTCTCAAAATAATACTCTGATCAGGAGAACAATGTCACCTGAGGTACGAATTACTCTCGACTCACTGCTAAGCCAACTAGTAAACCTATTTTAAATTACTGCTTTGCAAACTCAGTTTAAAAAATTAAGCATTTTACTTTTTGATTTTTAAGTGAAACTTGCGAGCGAATAGGCTACATTTTGCATGTGCCTCTTATATGGCTATGATATTGGAAATATTTTAAGCAGCTTGTCCATCTTTATAAAAATAACGACATTATTTCCATACCAATCAACATAACTATAAAAACACAACATTACCGACTGAGTTTGCATAAGTTTTCTCACAATAGTTGCATTATGCGTGAAGCAAGCTTAATAAGTTCAATCATTGAAAAAAAATAGGATGCTTATGCAGAACTCATCCCTTCTAATTAATTTCACGTTTATGGCCTAAATTCACAATTGTAAACATGGGTTTCATAATACGATATTATTAAATCTAAATTCACAATTGTAAACATGGGTTTCATAATACCATATTATTAAATTTCTTCTTCTACTACTTAAATTAATATTAAAAAACATATAAAATGCTACTTTTTTATGTTCTACTCATAATTAAGGCTATGGCGAAAGAAAATGTTGAAAACTGCATTGAGTTGATGTGCCAGTCTATATATTTCCTTTTACTTGTTATATGCTCTAAACTACTTGTAATAATTATTTTCTTACTTATGTTTTTAGTCGACTCTATTATTTATGGTTTTTTGATACTGAAGATCAAGATGTTTCCTTTAAGAAAAAGAAAAAAAGAAGAATTAAAATAACTATATCAGTCCACTTCCGCAATTTTTTAGTTTTCTCCTTTTTTTTCTTCGATCTATGCTTCTACCCTAAGGAATTATATCTAATTAACGTAATTAGTTGGATTGGTTATTTGATAACCTTTTTTCAAAGCTGAAAGATGCTAGTTTATTTTTTCATGTTCATGTTAGCTTCAACCAGGAATTTGTGCATTCTAGAATCTAAATTCTCTCATATTATGACCCACGTTGTTGCCTGATACTTCATGGTCTATTGTCCCTTATGCATTTAGGATGATATAATGAATACAGATCACATAAAGAAAATTAAGTTTCATAGATCAAACACTGCTGGGTGCACAAATGTTCACTTTTTTTTTGGTTCAAATAATTAAAAAACTTAGTAGATTCTGAATGAAAACAATGGTGTGGTGATTGATTAAGTTTGAAAAAATCAACAAGAAGCTCGAATTATGAAAATCAGCAAGCAACTTCATTGTAATTTAAACCTTGATTGTATCAATATTGATGAGGAGCTATATCACTAATTGAAGAAAATCTAAGCATCATGTTGTTATAAGGAGATTATTCTTAGCATAATTTGGTAGTCATTACATCACTCGAATGAATCCTACAGGAACAGGCACATATGGTTGGAAATAGAAACAAAACTTTATCCCATTCATGTTATATTTATACTATCCTTGAAGATATCATATTTATTGACATTAAGCCAAATTTTTTTGAGAAAAAGAGGGAAAAGATGCTATGCCTAGGATAAATGCGCTAGAATAACTAAGGGGTCACAAAACTCTGTAATTTAGATAGGTCCACAAGCCAACATAGATCCCCTGTTTAAGAAAGTGTCATTGGGTTTGCATTGCTGCTAGAAAACTTTGGGAGGGGCACTTGCAAGAAAACCAAAGCTCATAAGCACAGCACTCTTAGAAATCATTGCTTTAGGAGGAGATAAAAATTAAAGACAGCCATAGATAATTATAATAACCGTTGATGTTTTCCACATTAATTTGTCTAGCTTATAAAAATTATACTTTGATGAAATTAATTATTATTATTCTTAAAGAAGACTGGGAATAATTGTCCTTACCGTAATGTAATCCAAATACTTCACAAGAGATTATACTACTCTAGTGCACAATATATCTCTAAATCACTATCAATACTAGACAATCTTATATCAACTACAATATATCTCTAGAACAAATTATTTAGCTTTTCTAACATATGTTAAATATGGATTCACGGGGAGGTGGGGAAAGTGAGAAGAGTTGTAGTAATTTACATTAATTTACTGAACATAACGTCTAATCAAATTAATTGAAAATTGAATGATAGTTCAAATTTCTTGAAATTTCTAATTTATAAATTTTTAACATAGGTATATTGTTACTTTTATTTTGAAACCCGTGGTTACACGTTGACTATATCTTCACAAAATAAGTAGTTAAAAATTCAAATACATAGGTATATTGTTACTTTTATTTTGAAACCCGTGTATCTTCACAAAATAAGTAGTTAAAAATTCAAATGAAATGTTAGCTTGATGACATTTGTAATCATAATAAACTACATTTTTCTTATTCCAATTTTTTTAGGATTGGCATTAGGCTTTACAAGCAATGTGATACCTATGCTTATGATTATGAAAATGCAATGTAGTGTTCATTTATTATTTGAAGCATGCTTGTTTTTTGTTTCTAAAGGGAAGAAAAATGAGGACAATATGGGTTTGTGAATCTTTCTTGCTTCATATTATGTTGGGGAACTGATCATATCTTCGGAAAAACCTAGAAAGTTTTAGAATGATTTTCACCGAGTCTCATTAGATGATTATCAATAACTGTCTATCCATATAAAACAATCTAATACAACCAAAACTTGACTAGAACAAACCCACATCAACTACACTGAATGGTGCTATGAAAATCTTGCAAGTAAGCCACTAAACATGCTTAACGTTTCATAAATGAATAATATGAGCAAATAAATGGCATATTTCATTACTTCCAAATCTAGCATATCTGTTCTTTTGTTTTCATAATTTCATGCTTTTCTGTCATTCTTCAAGAAGTATTATTTTTATTTTCTTCACGAGTTTGAGGTAATGACTAGAGAAATGGTTGGTTAAATTATAATTTACTTGCAGAAGGGATAAGAAGGTTGGGAAAAAAAATGCAACGGTAGAAGAATAACAAATAAATCTTCAAGTTGCTTGATTTTGAATCTTCAAAGAACCTTTTTGTCTAGTCCTCCGAAGTCATTTAGGAAGATGAAATCTTAAATATCTAGGAAGACGTTGAAATCTGGGAGACTACTATAAAACTTAGTTTTTTTTTATGATCGAACTGCGGCGTCATTATTCAAAATTCTTTGGGTTCAATGGTCAAATATTGATAGAAAATAATCTAATGAGATCTAAGTTCTAAATATGTCGTTACACTTTGACCGATTATTGACCTCATTTCTGGATGAGGTCTCTTTTTTGTCTCTCCTTAGAGCCTAGGGTCTAGCTTTAGGCTTCCCCTGTTCGACTCTCTTAGAAGACTAGGACCAGTACGAAACCCACACCATTTAGAAAATTCGAGCCACCTCGTCACTTCTTCGAGTTTTGCATGGGCGGTCCCGAATCCTCGACGTTCTATTAAGTTGATTATGACCGACACATGAAACTCGAGTCGAGTTCCTACATTAATAGGAGCAGCCCCTAGAGAACTCCTTTGTGACCCGAACGCTCGATAACGCCGCATTTTTGCGCACGCATCGCAACCTGTATAATTTTAACTTAAATTGGCTCGCCCGTCGGCAAGCTCGTTCGTACGACCCCGGATGACAAAAAGGATCATATAATTTTAACTTAAATTGGCTCGCCCGTCGGCAAACTCGTTTGTACGACCCCGGATGACAAAAAAGATCGTGCCGACGCGTCCGGAACGTCGACTTTAGCTAGGAATGACACCCATATTGCTGTGGTTCCACACTCGCACGAACTGCACGGATGTCGATGCATTTTTTTTTTAGCTGTGCGCGGGCCCAGGCTCAACTCAGGTCCGACTCGGGTTTGATTCAGGCTGGACTCGGGCTGAAGACGGGCTAGGCACCAGTTCACTTGAATTTGAAATTCAAATTTCAAACTTCAAATGGAGTATTTAATTTTTATCTTAATTAAGATTAATTCAGGGGTTAATTATTTCCATTTAATCTTCCCCTCCATTTGGAAACCATTTATTTCCTGCCCTGCATTTGGAAATTGTATTATTTCCCCCGCCCAATCGGTTCCAAAGTAACCAAAGTAACGCCTCCCGCTCCAAAGGAGCGTCTTCTTCCTCGGGGATTCGACTTAATTCGTGCTCCCGAGCTTTTCTTCCCCGTTCGCTCCCGCTCAGCTTTCCTGTTCCTGTCGCATTTCTGCTGCAAGCACGAAGCTCGCCCGCTCGCCTCCTCCCTGCGCCGAAGACTTCTGCTCGCTCGCTCGTCTCCCGCACCGAACCGAAGCCGCTCGTCTCTCGCACCGAACCGAAGCCGCTCGATCCCGTCACTCCGAAGCCGCTCGATCCCGCCTTGGGAGTGTGCTGTAGGTGCTGTAGGAGTGCCATAGGTGCTGTTGGAAGCTTAGAAAAGCCTTGGGAGTGTCCTAGGAGCGCTGTTGGAGCCTTAGGAGTGCTGTTGGAGCCTTAGGAGTGCTGCTTGGGCCTTGAATTTGTTGTTTGGAAGCTGTTTGAAATATAAGATTGCTGCCCATTGCTAATTAAGGGTTGTTAGGAGTGTTTGGAAGTTGTAGAAGGTCGTAGGATCGGCGCACAAGCCTGCTAGTTGCTGCCCCGAGCTGTAAGAGCTGCAGGACCGTTGTCCAATGCTTCAATTTGCTGCCCACCTCTGTTCGGGTTCGTAGGAAACCACATAGGTGTTGCCCATTGCTGTTTGGATTCATAGGAATCCATACAGGCGTCATTCGGAACTCGTAGCTGCTGTCCGGAGTCGTAGGATCACCGTACACATTCGCTAGTTGCTTACCAGAATTGTAGGGGATCGTAGGATCACCATACTATCTCGCTAGTTATAGTCAGAAGTTGTAGGAGGCCTTAGGATCACCTCTTTTGGGAATTCCTAACTGTTACTACAACTTGTTCTACTGTTTATTTCTTTTCTTTTCTTTACAATTTATTTAAAATCCCTGCAGATTATATTGTGCTTTGTGAGTTAAACATGAAACAGGAATAACAGCAGCAGATACGTCACG